GGTTTAAGGATAGCCTAGCTGGTGCTGGTACCTCTTTAGAAGTCCTGATGGGTCTGGTTCTTAGAGTGAAAAGAAGCAAGAAGCTGGAGCCACCTGCCAATGACAGAGTGAAGGGCCACTACTGAAGTGATGCTGATAAGATCAGTAAGCAAATGAGAAGGAACAAGTCTCTTCTCCCCTACTTCTGCCTTCCAATCTGTGTTCTTCTATCAATAGGCCCTAATGGAAAGCCAGCAGGCAAAGGAGACACGTAAGTTGCAAAGTCCTAGCATTATAAAACCAGAGTGTAGAAATGTGACATAAATGGGATCCCTGGAGATACTGAAGCACTGTGCTGAGATGCTTCCTGAACCTCATCCTTTGTATATCTTCCTTTTTATATCCTTCTCTGTTATTAAAGTTGTTATTGCAATTATGTTGTTTCCGTGAGTTCTCTGTCACTGTTCCTATGACTTACTGAATCCAATGGATAGAGTGCTGTGGGGAAATGGCTGGTGTTGGAAATAGTATAGATGTTGGAAAATGGGTATATTTGACCCCTGCCTCATAGGAATGAACTTTGTTCTGATTCTTACCCTCTGAGTTATCTTTTCAGGCTATAGTTTAATTACCAGCACTAAGAGCAATTAAATTAAGTCTTAAACAGTGGTCATAGTTGGAATAACTGTCTGCCAGCTTAAAAACTCAAGATGACATATGCTCAAGGCCTTAAAAAATTAATATACTTCTGTTGAGATTGTCATTAGGCCTGTGGTTGAGTATGCTGTGTCACTATAGACATCATTTAATCATTCACCATGGCAGGCATTATGATAGGTGTTTGGGTGGGTTTGGTTTTTGGGGTTGGAGTAGTGAAAAAATAGGTATCTCCTTGTCTGCCCTCACAGAACTTTTATTTTAGTGGAGGGAAGACAGAAAGTTAATACTAGTCTGATTATGGAGAAAATAAAGCAAGTTAAGGGGATACAGGTGGGGTAGGACTTTTATATGGGGTGGTCATAGAAGATCTCAATGATAAAGTGAAGTCTGAGTTAAGATCTAACAGAAAAATGAGAGAAAACAGGACTGGGGAGATATTTTAAACAGGAAATGGTTGTATTTTATAAATGAAGTTGGTGAATACTGTGTACATGGGTGGACTTTTTTGTGGTTTGTAGTTTTTTTTTTTTTTTTTAAACACATTTGCATAGTTCTGCTTTAACAGACTACGATTCTAACTAGGCAAAGATCAACTTATTATCAAATATAGTACCAAGATCAAATATTTCACAAAGCATTGCTCATCTGTTCCACACAGGGAACAGCTATAGTTATTCACACAGAAGGTCATGAAAATTTGCTGATGTGAAGGGAATTAGCTGAAGTCTATAATGTCCTACCTCTAGTATAAAATACTTCATTTGTCGGCTCTGAAATTCTAATAGTCTCAAGCCTTTAATTTGGATTATTTGAGTAAATGTAAAATGCTCAGCACTGTCCATAGTTACTTACCTCTTTGTTAAAATGTCAACCTTTGTTTTTTAGTTAAGAGTTAATGAACCTTGATAATTGGCAAACAGTCTTTCAAGCAGAAAGTGGGATGGACACCATTAGTCCTCTTAACCCCAAACAATGAAACCATTGTTGGAGCTAAGATCATGTCACTTTTTGTGCAGATAATTTTTTTTTTTCTGAGAAAATACACATACTCTTTGGTATTCACTGGTGCCAGAAATATTAATAAATTAGTCAAAATTAAGTATTTCTTCCACCAGTCTGCTACCCAAACAAAAAAGGTGAACTTATCTTTAAAATTAGAAAACTGGAAACAGTATTAAGCCTAGTAAAACTCTCAAGATAAAGGTTAGTTAAAAAAAAAAAAAGAAAAGAAAGAAAATCTGGTTTTCAAAAAAAAAGAAAAGAAAGAAAAATGAGCTGAACCACATAATGTGAAATCCTTTTCTGTAGCCAAAGACAATTTCTGATAAGAAAGCTTGAGGTGGGTATGTCTAAGCTTCATTCATTTGAAGAGAACGTAATTTAAGACTGAACACTTAGTAGAAATTTGGGTTACTTTGGTAAATTTGTTTTTAACTTGAAATGGAATTTTGAGAGGTCTGTAGGCCCATTGGACACAAGAACTTAGTTCTAGCAGGGAAGCTACCACATATAGCTGGTAGTATTTGCAGAGCACTTAACATTTGTGCCTAGAATTCTCCAGGTGTCTGGTAGTAATAGTAATTACTATCTTCCACGAAGTGAGTGTGTGTTCTTTGACATCTCAGGCAGACTATGCTATAACAACACAAATTAATATCAGAACCTAATGTATGTATAGGAGCTGTGGTAGTGTAGTGCCTAAGGCACTTGACTAACCAGAAGGCTGACTGTTCAAAGCAACCAGCCACTCCTTGGAAGGAAGATGGGGCAGTGAACTTCTGTAGTGATACCATCTTGGAAACCCAAGGAGGGGTTGCTGAGTCAGGCCCCACTCGAAGGTACATAACAACAATGTATGCATGCACATAAAACACTCTTTTTACTGCTTATATAGCTTCTATAAATTCTGCTCTTCCATGCTCTGTCTTCACTTTAGGTCAGAGAACATAATCATAGCATGCCACTAATCTAATTTTTCTAGATATAGAGGAAATACGTATTTTAAAGCTCCATGTCATCATTTTGAGAAGCACCAAACCTGCTAATTCCTCATAGTTTCTGTAGCAACTGCAGGATGCCCCCCATATTAAGCTTTTTTGGCACCTCTTCAAATGTTGGCTAAATTACTGTTTCTGGAGACTGGAACTGTCAATGAAAGATTGGGGGAATGAAACTGGCTAGTGATATTAAAATTTGGTGGTTTAACATCTGAGTATCAACAATGTGTTAAAGCTCTATCTAAACAGATAATTAGCTAGGCACTGTGCAGTTAGCTTTGTCTAAATTTAGCAGTGAAATTAGGTTTAGCACTGTGAAAATGGGCAAAGAAATGTTCTCAAGGGAAACTGTGGTGTTAGTACAGCTGAGGAATGTCACAATAGCTACATTTTGTCAATTATAATCATCATCAAGGGATCTCTCTGAGAGATTCAGGACACAGTTTATTCCCAAGTGCATCCCAAGTATAGGTGATGGAAAGGAGCGGTTGTGGGAGATAGGTTTACAGTGGACGACACAGGCAGGTTGGCATAAGAAGAAAAAAGGGGAGGGATGGAGGAAAAGAGGTACTAGAAAAAGAGCGCGGGAAGGCAGGATGGGAGGCAGAAGTTAGTAAAGAGGTGTGGGCAGGGGGCAGAATAGTGTATATAGCCTTGGAGGTGAGTAATATTTAGCAAACCACAGGGCGGAGGGTGGAGAGCCTCTAGTGATTGAAGGTGGAAGACAGCGTGGCGGTATGCAAGCGTTCGTTCAGCTGTGGCAGGCTCGTCTCTGGGCGGCTGATCCTTTTTCAGGTTTTTTTTGTGGGAGCACATTTGTGACTATCTGGTGCAGATGGCGGAACCTACATAAAATTATTGGTCTCAAACCCGAGGACGGTGTCCTCCGCCTCCAATCACGCCCTAGACAATCAAGACGCTTCACTTTGTAACCCCCCCTCCCCGCAGAACCGCCGGTGCCTGTGGCTCCAAGGTCAGGCCACCTGGGCTGTGAGTGGCTAGCGAATGAAGAGAGCACAGTGGGCAGCCATCTGGGGTAAGGGAGGGTCTTAGTGTGGACCACAGAAACTCCTCTTACTGGCAAATATTTAATACTTCCCAAAGTCGCTTTCCCGCAATTAGTCTACGGTTCAAAGGAAAACACGCAATGAAAATAAAATTACACGTGCGAACATGCAAATGAAAACGAAGCAAAAACACCACCGCACTCGAGGCTCTCCGATGGAATATCCAAGGCCTCCTGTAGGCAGTCGCCCGACACAGAGAATAGCCCGGCGGCCGGACACAGGAGAGCGAAAAGAAATCTTCTGGGCCCCCACTCCTCGTCCGGCTCCGCTGACCCTTCCACCAAGCAGTCCTCCCAAGGAAAAGAGCAAGAAAAATGCCTGGGCAAACCTGCCTCCGCGGCCTGGGGCGGGGGGTGGGGTGGGGTAGGGAGTGGGGCTGGGATAGAAGGGATTCCGAGAGCATAGCTGTCCCGGGGAACAGGAGGAAGGAGAAAGTCTCCTTTCAGTCCCCCGCACTCATGGTAAGAAGGAAGATGACTGACTAGTCCAGCAGGCTGGATCCAGCTTCCTAGACAGGAATCTTTAGCATGGGCGACGGAAGGGCAGCCCCATCCTGTCTTTCCCTCCCTATACCCTCCAGGTCGCGGGTCCCCGCCAGAGGGAGAGCGCCGCCCGGGAGAAGCAAATGTCGAATGCGATTGTCCCGCCGCCCTCCGCCTCAGTCTGCGTCGAACCCGCGGTGGACCCGCCAGGGGCGGAGTGGGCGAAACCATTGCAAACTATGAGAAGGGGGGACGAACGAAGGGCGGGGCGGGCTAACCTATTCCAGATTTTTCTCTCCTTTTTAAAGCTCTGCTTTGGGAGAAACCCCGTTAACTAAGTGGATAAGAAGTGTTTTTTTTTTTTTTTTTTCCCCTTTTTTTAAGGGGAGGAGCATGTGTAGAAGGGCGGGGTGGGAGGAGACGCGGCTTGCACTCAGGGATCAGCCGGGAGCAGGAGTCGAGCTCCCTACGCCGCTCAGAGGGTCCCTTCCTCTCCCCCTCCCGCGTGGGGCGGGGTGGTGCGTTCCGAGTTCCCAGGAGTTCGAGGCGGGCGGGTGCCGGGGGGAGGGGAGTGGCGGCGGCGGGCGGCTCCCGCCTCAGCCTCTGCGGCGGCGTCGGCGACCGCGGAGTAGAGGCAGCCGCGAGCGCTCGGCTGACTGTCAGCCGGCGGCGACGGCTCAAGAGCTGGGAGTTGGAGGCGCGCGCGCCGGACCTTTCGCCGCCGCGGCCGCTATTGCCGCCTTGCGGAGCCTGAGGCGCCCGGGTCGGGCGAGCCGGGGGCCAGGCGGACGAGCCAGCCGGGGGGAGGGTGGGGGATGGCGCGGACCCCAGGGTCGGCTCCGCTGTATCCCGGAGGCGGCAAAGCACAACTTTCTTCCGCTTCTCCCCCCGGAGCCGGGCTCCTGCTGCCGCCACCGACGCCGCCGCCGCCGCTGCTGCTGCTGCTCTTCCCGCTGCTGCTCTTCTCCCGGTTCTGTGGTAGGTGAACGTCGGCGGCCGGCGTGGGCTGAGGGAAGCGCGACCGAGGGTCCCGGCGCCGCAGCCCGGCCGACGCGGGCCGCTTTCCCGGGCGGCGAGGCAGTTGTGTTCGGCGTTTGGTTGCGCGAGTGGGTGCAGCGGACTTTGGCTGGAAACTTTTCGCCGCGGCCGGGGTGAGGCCGGGGCCGGCCAGTGCGGCGCGGGCTGCCTGCTCCCCTCCCCCGCGGCCGTGCTGTTGCCGCTCCGATCGCCAGTGTTCGGCGATGGTGCTTTCTACCCTGACGGCTAACGCCGAGTATTCGTGCGCGGGGCTCTTCTGAGTTTGCTCCGAGGACCGTTACTTCCTCGCTTTTTCGCGGAGGAAGCTTAGAGCGCGCGCACTTCTGAGCTGGGGTTTAGAGACTGGGATGCACATTTGCCGCCTCATTTTTTTTTTTTTTTTCTTTTTTTCTCCCCCTGGTGAAACTTGAGCTCTGAGCCCAGAAACCTTATGGACCTTGGCCCAGAGGAATGAGACCTTCGAGGCCATCCCTCACGCCTTCCACCCTGGAGAAGGCACCATGTTAGCCCACCCTATAGCATCCCCTACAGTCAGTTCTCTCCGGTCCTCCGGCCCCTGTTCTGCCTTGGCAGCGTCTGATCTTTTTGCATCGAGACTGTCGCTGCCTTTCTGTTTATGGGACATTTCTCACATTGTCCATGTTTATTTCAGCAAACCTTATTTTTCTCCAAAAATTCTACTTACATGTTAAATATCTGACAACCTCGACTGTACCTCGGATATTCTAATCTACACATCTCCATGTCTTTTCCTGGTCTCTTTCTTCATGTTATGTTACAGTTTTCCCGTTACATTATAGAAGTTATAGTCTCTATAAGTTATAGAACTTATAGTCTCTGTAAGTTCTCTTCACAGGTGTCGGAGACTAGACGTCTTCTTGTTAAGGATCGTGTTAAAAAAATAAATTGCCTTTCTTGCAGGAGCAATGGATGAAAATGATAGTTAATGGAAGGTGATGGTTTGGGAAAATAAAGCCACCAGTCTTTGGTGGTTAGCACTATGTGTCTTTGGGTAGTATCAAAACACTGCAGGACGTTATTCATTCTAGGGCTTTTACTTGGTGAGTAACAAAACTTAGGCTTGCTCAGATTTTGATTTGTTTACCTATTTTTACTGGCGTATAAGGTTGCTGTTGGATCTCGGTTTGTTGAAATCTAAAGTTTTACTAATACTCATTAAAAGGAGAGATGCATTATCTGGACAGTGTGATTTAGAAGAGAGAATCCTGAGGCAGGTAGGTGTGTGAGGGTAGTAATTGGTTTTGGTGGAGGCAAAGTTTTCTTACTGAGATTGAGTGCCCCTTGTAGGTTGAGACTTTCCACTACCACTTCACCACTACGTTTAAATCACTGTAATGAGTGTTGCTGATTCACAGAGTATAGTGTGGTAAATGGCACGTTATCTAATCTACACTGCTTCTATATCCCTACTCCCCAGATATTTGGTTCTAAGACATAATTCTTAATGCTATTATTATCTCTCTAAATTGCCATGAGATTCTGGATTGAATTTGTGTGCTATTCTTTTTCCGTTGAGGATTGTGAATGCCTCTTAATAGTAGGATAGGAGGAGAGTTGGGTGGGGGGATTAACAGTTTACTATCCAGAGATATAGTTTGTGTTTGAGGACTGAGAATATTATCTGTAACTCCAATAAAGGCAGATCCAGCTAGTCAAAACCCTACTGAAGACTGTGAAGCTAGGTAATATGAGAAGGTGATATAAGGGTATACATTTGCATGATAATTTCACAGTGGTTGTGCAGCTGAAGTGTTGATTATTTTTGAAGTAACACGTTGGATTTTACGTGGAAGAAAATTTTTGTTTTTTTCTTTAATCACTTTAATCATGTGTTATTGGAGGGACTTGCTATTTTGTTTCAGAAACCTAAAAATGCAGTCATTCTAGGTAAATAGACTGTTTTGGACGTGTAATTGAAGTTATAGAATCAACTTAATAGTTGTAGAGACAGACTCTGTGTTCTGTGCACTGCTCATTTAAAAAGTTTCCTTTTTTGGCTTATAGTGTTATAACACCCTAATTTGTGAACGCTTATGACAAATTTTTTCCATCTACCCTTCTCTATTTTAGAATTCAGTCTTTGAGTAGGCCACACTTGTGATGATTTCCGGATGCTTAATAAGTATGGAAACAGTTTTTTCATGTAAGCTGTTGTTATCTAACATACATAGTACTACTAACAAGATTTAGTATGTACTTATATTTTACTAAGTAGAGCCAGTTCTAAAGTTTAAAAGATTTTTAGGCTTTGGAAAGATGACTACCTGATGATTTGTTAATGAGAATGCTTTACTTGTTTTAGCGTATATACTGATATTTTTTCATTTTGTTGCTGTTTTTGATATAATGGTTATATTCATCATGGCCTTCAGCTTCTGCAGTATAATCTATTAGCACTAGATAATTTTCATAGCATGTTTATTTGACCCCTAAAAAGCCCTTTCACTACTGATAAGTTTATCGTTCAGAAAACTACCCCCCCCCAAACAAAAAACCTTTAGCTCAGATTTGTTGTTTGGTTTGGGTGTGTATTATGTTATAGAAAAACTGAACTTTTAAAATGAGGGTTTTACAGGTTGACAAACTGCTAGGTTTTTTTTTTTTTTACGCTTAAGAAATTCCTTAGTATAAAGATCAAGGGGGCTAGGTAGGTTTGCGGGAATATCTGATTTGATAAATTTCATTCTTTCAATTCTGTGTTTCTTTATGATCAATTCATAGGTGATGGATACTATTTCACTTTTCCTTCCTACCTTTTTTTTGGAGGTACACAATATTAGCTGGGTCATGATATTGATGAAAGGGAAGATAGATAATTGGATCTTTGTAAGATCTCATTTGATTTTGGGATCCTATCATTTTTTCCATTTTTAGCCACATTTTATCTAAAGTTAGGTGTTCAGAAGATCAAAAAAAAGACCTGATATGTTATTTAACCTATCTGCATTCCTTGCACTTGGGGGCATAACACATAAGAAAAACAGGGTCCTGGCTTCAAGGAGCTTACAACACTGTTATAGACATTAAGGAAATAGATGATTATAGGACTGTTTGATGTTTATAACAGAGATCTACGTAAAGTGTTATGGTTCCATTAGGTAAAGGCATATGAATGTGAAATAGAAAAAAAAAAATCAGTTTTTAAAAATCAGCTGAGTCAGATTATTTCTCTCTCTCTAGGCAGCTTATAGTTTAGTTAATAGAGTTTGATTCTGAAAAAGAAAAAAAAAAACGACTGCCACTTACTAGGTGTGAAACTTTGGAAGGTTATTTAATCTTGGTAAACTTAAAGTTTCTCATCTTCAGAAAAATGTATTATTTTCACCTGGCTCATAAAGTTCTAGTGAGGATCAAATGAAAATACAGCACTTAGATGACACATAGTACTCAAATGATAACATTAATAATATTGCTAGCAGCCTGGTACTTGTGAGTCATGAATTCTACCCTGATGCCTGAGTAATTGAGTATTTGAGCTAATTGATTTGCTGTATTTGCACTTTATATCTTTGTATTGTGTGTAGCACAATCAGTGCTTATTAAATATTTAAGTTTACTTTGTTGTTATGTGCTGTCGAGTTGGCCCAACTCATAACGACTCCTCCTTGGGTTTCTGAGGCATTATCACTACAGAAGTAGGATTGCCCAACCTTCCTTCTGAGGAGTGGCTGATGGGTTTGAACCGCCAGCCTTCTGGTTAGCAGTCAAGTGCCTTAGGCACTATGCTACCAGAGCTCATATAAAGAGGAAAATATGCCAAATTTCAGAATATTAGAATACAGTGGAATTAATTAAACTATGTAACTGTATGGAACCCAGTTCAGTTTTCTTTTAGTGATATAGAATGCGTTTTAGGATTTGAAATATAATCCTAATGTCACTTAAAATGTTAATAATTACATTGAAAATGTGGGATTAGAGATGGGAGTTACAGTTTTGATTCTACTTTATCAAGTTCCTGTTAGTATTATGCAAGGACCTACAGTACATATTGCCTATGTGAATATTTCTACATCCTAAACAGATTGGAAAAGGTATCAAATATAAAAGAAAACATAGTAGACCAGATCTTTTACTTCCAGTTAGTTACTTGGAAGAAGCCAGGCAATTTTATCTATAGCTGCATATACATCTCTCTATATATGGCTCTAGACCTACTTTGCCTGTGGCACTTACAAAAAAAACTATTGTCATCGAGAGTGACCTCCAACTCTTGGTGACCCCATATTTGCTGTCAGAGTAGAACTATACTCGAAAGAGTTTTCAATGACTGATTTTTCTGAAATCGATTGTTAGGCCTTTCTTTCGAGGCACCTCTGGATAAACTTGAACTTCCAACCTTTCAGTTAACAGCCAAGTGCCTTAACTGTTTTACCACCTAAAGACTCACTGTCACTTATGCTTAGATATGTGTGTGTGTAATTTAGTGATTTGGCAACTCCGATATGTTTTCTATCTGTATACCTACTGACATTGAGTCGATTCTGATTTATAGGGAGTCTTTAAGACAGTAGAACTGCTCCATGGAGTTTTCAGGCTATAAATCTTTATGGAAGCAGACTGCCTCATCTTTCTCCTATGGAACAGCTCTTAGAGTTAAGGAATAAAATTTAAGGACTATTGCCTATTTTCTGGTAGTGTAGTGCCTAAGGCATTTGACTGCTAACCAGAAGGCTGGAGGTTCAAACCCATCAGCCACTCCTTGGAAGGCAGACTGGGCAATCTTACTTCTGTGGAGTTACCACCTTGGAAAACCAAGGCTGTCTATGGTCGGATCCAACTCAATGGCAGTGAGTTTAGTTTGGTTTATTGCCTATTAATTTGAAATGATTGAAGAGAAGTTAGCTCTGAAATTTTTGTTAAAATTAAGAGCATTTTGACATTCTGTAATTTACTCATTAAAAATTAATGAGTGAACA